ACTGGGGTGGACCGGCTCTGAGTCACCCCCTCCCAGGGCCCTGGACGGATGGATGCTGTCACAGGTGTGCTGCAGGAGAACACGGGAAGACACAAGCCATGCCGTGGAGATGGGAGGCCTGGCAGGTGTGATGCGGAGGAGGGGAGGAGGGGCATCTGTGGGACATTGTCCCTCGATGAGCCAGTGCATGGGACACTCTACACATGCATCTTTACACAAGTGGAGACACAAAGGCACAGCTGCCAAGTGGTTATGAGGTCGCCCTGGGGTGCAAAGACTCAAGGTGACCTTTTTTTCCTTCTTTATATCTGCCTGCACTCTTCCAGTGCTTTACATTAAGAAGCGCTCTTCATGGAGCCCACATGACTCACAAAAAGGCTGTGTGTATTGGCAAAGAAAGGAAGGAAGCCAGGCCTGGTAGAGGGACCAGGGACCAGGGAGCGGGAGCTGGCTTCACATCCCCGCCCCAGAGAGGCGCCTCGGGCAGACAGAGCCTTGGCCCAGGACACGGTGGTCATCACAGGAAGAACGGTTTGCTGTTGCCTTTTTATTTTATTTTTTAAACTTTTTATATCTTGAGATCACAGCAGAGTCACACCCAGTTGTAAGGAATAATGTGATGAAGTCCCCTCTGCCTTCCACACTTCCCCCAAAGGGTAACATCTTGCAAAATTTCAGTGCAACATCACAACCAGGAAATTAACCTGGAAACGCTCCAGACTTCCCTGGTTTGATGTGAGCTTGCATATGTGTGCACATTTGTGTGTGTCTGGGGTGAATGTGCTCACACGTGTAGCTGCTGTGTCCCCCAAGGGTGTCAAGACACACAACGGTTCCCTTCCAGTGATCCCCTGCGGCCCTGTGTACTCACAGCCCCCTCCCTCCCTATTTCTGGCAGTCAGCTCTTTTCCAATCATTCTGACTTAGTTGTTTTTAGAGTTACATAATTCAGATCAATGTTTTTGCTCAGCCTAATTCTCATCTCTGTTGTACTGGATTTGAATGTGAAATGAAGTGGACATGGACATGGGGCGACCTCCCCATTCTGTACAGGAGAGGGCTGAAGTTCAAGGTGACTGGGACACACAGTGAGCGGGACCCAATCCCAGAGCATCCGCAGGTGTAGGTGTGGCTCCATCTCCCTTGGGCAGGGAGCAGCCTGCAGCCCAGAGAAGCGCGGGGGCTGGTCCGGGGACACAGCTAAACGTTGGCCGGCAGGTGGCCAGTCCGCACTCCTTTCTCCTCACTGGTTCTGCTGGGCCTCTCTGCCTCAGGTGGGTATTGGTGCCCTCCTTTCACCTCCTTCCAGAAGCACCGAACTAGGTTCCTGCCACTCAGGACACACTGAGCCAGGAACAGAGTGTCAGCTTGGCCGCCTGCCGCAGGTGACTGAGTTACTGAGGCTCTCCACTCCTTAGCACCCAGAGAGGAGGTGGGAATTAAGAGGAGTTGGCATAAGAGGTGTGATGGAGAAATACAGTGAATTTAATACAGTAAGAGATACATGGCCATGAACCACGCCCCGAGTCCTCCTCCTCACTGTGAGCACGCCCATCCCGGGGCCTGCCACTTTCCGCAGCAGCTCTGGAGTCCTCTTTCCCGAGTGTCTTTAGCTGTGCTGGACTGGCTGCCGCGATGTCCTGAGTGGATTCAAAACATCTCCCTTTCATGGTCATGGTGACTTTGAGGAAGAGCGGAGGTCACAAGGTGCCATGTCTGGTGAGTAAGCGGCTGAGGACACAGCGTCGTGGCTCTGGGCAGCAGCAGTCACCGCTCTGGACTGGTAAAAGTTCCTTCCTCTGACCTCGCTGGCCCCAGGCTACTGCTCTCCCATCCTGCCCTCTTCTTCCCGGGGTGGTGTGTGTCCCCAGCTGACACTTGAGGATTGGTACAGTGGGTGGAGTCACTTCTCAAGCCAATCCTCAAGTGTCAGCTGGGGACACACACCACAGGGGACTGGTTCTAGTCACCTGGTACTACGTGGGCAGAAGAGACCAGGTGGGAAAGGTCGTGGGGAGCTGAGAGGCCCCCTAATCCAAGATCACTTGGCTTCAGTGGGCATTGGCTCAGCAGAAAGCCAAGCCCTGGGCCCTCAGGGCTCTGCCCAGCAGGATGTGGGCGCCCTGGGCTTCTGTATTCCCTTCTTCTTCTCAAGATGGAACTTCAGGAAGCCCTGGTCTGGGGCTTCTAGGGTGCAACTGGAGTCATCTTTTGTCGTGAAAATTAATAGTCACAAGAAAACTGGAATAAACGTAATTCTTCTATATCTTAGCACTCACTTACAAATGGTAGTTTCCCCCTCAACTTTCGAGCAAGCCCAGAAGTATACACACATTACAGTAATGAGGTCTGAGACCGAGGAAAGCTTCCTAACCTATGTTAAATTTATTTTCCCTGTTCTTATATTTTCATTTTGGGGGAATCTGACTTGATTTCCTGTTCTATTTTACCCAGTGATTTTTAGTATAAAATTACTGTTCTAACAAAAGACAATAAAAAAGGGCGAGGAAGCTAAAAGATGTAGAAAATTATCAAAAAGGTGGATATGAGTTTCTTAACTAGTAAAATTATTATGTTGTCTTGCTGGATTTTGTAATGCTTGTGATATCTGTCAACAGTGAGAACACTGAAAAATTTGTTGTGTTTTGTACTATTCTATTTAAGTATTCATTTTGTAATCAAGTTGGTATTGGTAACTTTTTATGCTTTTTCTTTCTTTTTCTTTTTTGGTACTGGGGATCAAACTCGTGACCTTGTTTTTTTTTTAAGGGTGGGTGCCCCAAATTGCAGAATGTTTTAGGAAGCCTGGATCCAGCACAGTGGGTCATATGTTCAAGAACCATTAAATAATGGAAATGATTCAGGAGGTTAAGAGAGAATAAGAACCAGGTGTGGTAGGGCACACCTATAATCTGGTTCTCCAGAAGGCTGAGGCAGGAGGATGTGAAGCTGGAGCCCAGCTCTAGCAATGGGCAATTTAGGAAGGCCTGTTTCAAAATAAGAACACTAAACGGTATAGGTTAGCCAGGCACGGTGGTGCAGGCCTGTAATTCCAGCACTTGAGAGGCAGAGGCAGGTCTGACTTGAGTTCAAGGTCAGCCTGGGCTACACAGTGAGTTCAAGATCAACCTAACTACACAGCAAGACCCTGTCTCAAAAAGCAAACAAATCCTCTTCCTCTCTTCTCTTCGCTGTTTGTTCTTTCTTTTGTTCTTTCTTTCCAGGAGCCAATGTGGTACCTCCTGTATCTATATTTTTAAAAATTTAAATATTCCAGCCTTCTCTGAAGGCAGGAGTGGCCATGAGACACCATTCTAGCCAATCAGATAAAATGAATCTCTGGGTAGAGTTTCTAGAAAAGTGTTTAAAGAGAGCTGATGGAGGAAGAGGACTTTTATTTATCTCCTTCTTGACTGTAATAAAGATGTGGTACTGGAGGCGAGGCAGCCTTCTTGTCACCTTGAAGATATTATGTGAAATAAAACTGGATACAGAGCACGAAGGAGTGAAAGAAGGATAAACCAATAGGGATGGCTGGCCTTTGGGTTTCCTGTTAAGTGACAAAAAGCTTTGTTTAATCCATTGTATCATCGTGGTTCTGATCACTTAGCTAAACATAATCCTATCAAAATATCCCTACTAAGGGGGCTTAACTAAGATAAATTTAGTGTCTCCATTCTGCAAGTTGGGAGCCTCACCGAGTCAGAGGGTGCTGTCCCTTGGACAGGGTCCCCCAGGCCTCTGTCCCTTCCCCACTGGCTTGCTGTCAGTCTTTGGCGTCCTTGGCTAGTTTCTGCATCAGCCTGCTTACTCGCATGGGTGTTTTTGCAGTGCATATCTGGGGTTCCCCCAGATTCCCCTTTTATAGGGACACCAGTCAGATCAGATGAAGGACCCACACTCTCCAGCATTACCTCCTCCTACCTCACCAAATCTGCAATGCTTGTGTTTTCAAATGAGGCCATGCTTAGAGGTACAAGGAATTGGGACTTTAACATATCATGGGGGGCCACAATTCTGCCCCTCACAACTGAGCCTCAGCCCTGATAGCTTCTCCTTCCTGCCCATGTCCAAGCCATGAGCAAGTCGGGAGCTTTAAAAGCCAGCACATGTCGCCACCCTGGATTCACACTGCCATCCAGGCCACGTGTACTCAGCACAGGTAGAGCCCAGACAGCTCTGGCTGCCACTTGAGGAGGAAGGATACGAAGTGTGCACAAGAAACAAAAAGTGCTGAGCTCTGGGCTTGTTACTGCGGCTCAACATAGCTTATCCTGACTCATACACTTTAAACTGCAAATCTGGTCCCAGCCTCTGGATGAGATAGACTCAGGGTAAGCTCTGACCTCTCTCCCCAACCTACAGGACCTCACAAGTGCTGGCCTCTGCGCACCTCCCCATTCGCATCTTTCCAGGCCCTTCTACTCACCTTTTCTGTCAGGGGACATCTATATCCTTCCGACTCTCAAATGCGTCCTGTTTTTGGAAGAATGCTAACCAGCTTTTTCCTCTCTTCCTTGCTAGCTCATAAACCCAAGCTGGTAGCAACAGTTTCTCTCTTTATTACCCCTAGATTTAGGGACTGCTCGTTACATAGCAGATGCTCAGTAAATAGTCGTGTCAGACACAGAAAGAAGGGCTGCATCTTTGCCTGGCCAAACCCTGCCCTCCTTCAGGACTCAGCTTGACATCGCATTGTTCTGGGAAGCACTGTTTGGTGAGGTGTCTGGCACACATGGCGAAGATTATGGGCTCAGAACTAGGATTCCTTTGGTTGGGACATCTCCTCCACTTCTGGCCCCCTGAACCTTTCCCTTTCACCACTGACCTTCAGATTCCTTGTCCGTACAAAAAAGGAAACGCACACCCGCGATTGTAGCATCTGCCCTGCCCACCGCGTGGCCCAGCACGGCCTCCAGCCCCTGCTAGACATACACCCTCACTTCGCCCTCAGGGAGTGAACCTCCTGCGGACCAGGACGCCTGCTCCGGGACCTTTACCCTCCTGGGAGCCTAAAAGTCCCTCCTGGGATTGCTCGGTCGCAGCGGGACCCCTCGCGCCCCCAAGCTGCTGGCCCATTGCGCACGCTCCGCTGCTCGCCTTGCCTCGCCGGGGGTAGAACAGCGCCCAGCGTCCGGGCGGGGCGGGGCGGGGCGGGGCGCCACGCCCCCTCCCTGACTGGCGGGGGAATGAGCCAATCGGAGGGACCTCTCGGGAGGAGCGGGGACGTGCTACGAGCCGGCGCCCGGTGCCCGCCGGAGCTGCAGCCGCCAGCGTGCGGCACGCGCCGGTCGCCTCCCTGGGCCGGTCCTGCAGCCGCTGCTGTCCTGTGCGTCACTTGCTTTTCGTGATATTTTTTTTGCATACATTTATTTTGCGTTTCACTTAGTACATTCTAAGGCGGCAGAAGCAAGGGCGACAGCGGAGACAGTGGCGTGCGCGCGGGGCGGGGAGGGGCGGCCCGAGGATGCGGCTCGGGACTGCGCTCGCGACGCCTGCCCCTGCTGCCCGGCTCCGGCCGGGACGCCAAGCAGGTGAGTACAGGTGCGCTGGGGGGGAGGGGACCCGAGGACCGCGGCTGATGGGCGGGCCAGGCGGCAGGGGACTTGGGGACCGGGGCCGCCCCGCCCCGTCGACCCCCCATCCGCGCGCAGCCCGCACGCGCACCCGGCACGCGCAACCCCACCCCGCGGCCCCCCTCTTGTTCTCTCCACTCCGCTTTTGGCTCGATACCCCTTGTCACACCTCGTAGCCACGCGTCGTCTCCCTCATCCGCCTCCGCGTCGCCCCCCCTACCCCCCCCCCCCGTCCCTCACGCCACCCCATTTCCACTCCTCTTCCTATTCCGCCCCCGAGCCCGGCTGCGGGCGGGGGACCCACACGTCTCCAGGAGTGGTGCGGGGGGCGTGGCCGGCCAGGCTCCCGGTTGTGCCTCGGACCCCTGCCGAGGTGGTACAGAAGATGGAGCCAGAGCCCTGGGCCACTCCGAGGCGGCTGGGGGCCGGGAGGGGGCGTCCGTCCCGGCCGCACCCCTCTCCGCCCCACGCACACCACACGCCGCCGAGGCCGCGCCACGCACAGCCTCGCGCCGCTCGGCTCACGTGGGCGCAGGGGAGGAGGCTGGCGAGATGGAAGAAAGGCTGGAACCCACCCTGCCGCCGGCCGGCGCGCCGGCCCTGAGCGCACAGGCGCTCGCTGGTCGGCCCTGCGGTGCGGGCACCTCGCGGGCCCTCTGCGTTCCCCATCACCGGCCTCGCGCCCCGTCCTCCCCGCTGTGGATCGGGCTGCTTGGAGTGGGCCTCGTTTGCCAGGCTGGCTCTTTTGGCTTTATAAGTCCCCTTCCCACACACCTTAGCCATCCTCTCTTCGGAGGCCTGGCCGTCCTGGGCTCCCTGCCAGCTTCTGCCCTGCCCTTTAAGCTCAGCGACTCTGTAGCTAATCTCCAGCCTCCTCTGCCGCCGCCCCTTCTGCGCCACTCCTGCTACACTGACCTTGGCCTTTGGTCGTGTTGTTCCCTCTCTGGGAGTGCCCTTCCTTGAGCTCCTGGCATGCCAAGGTCAGGGGAGCCCCCGGTCCCGCCTGAATTTTCCTGTGTTGCAGGCCGGTCACCCTGCTGTCTCCTTTCGAACCTCTGTGCTGCCTCCCAGAGCAGAAGGGGAGGTGGGGGAAAGTGTTGGAAGCAGCCTCAGCCCCGACAGCCACCCAGGGCTGCACCCGCCTAGTCAGTGTTGTCTCCTCAGGCAAATGACCCACCCGCGCCACCTGGAGGCGAGGCTGTGGGCCTGATGCGACATGGTCTTAAGGAGGGGCAGGTTTGGGGACAGGTGCAGTGGTGAGGACCGTGCCTCCACCGAAGGTTCCTTGTCTAACGGGCCGGAGACCTAGGCAGTGGAGAAAACTCCGGCTGTGACACACTGGAGGTGTGGAGGCTGTTGTAAAGTCTTACACTACCAGGTCTGCCGTGCCCCCGGGTATCTCTCTGCTCCAGGCTTGGGTGTGCGTAACTCTGGAGCCGCCTTAACCAATTTCCTTCTTTTCAAACCATCTGTGGCTCTGGCTGGCCCCCTCTCACAAGTTCCTCCTATCCTGGCTTCCCTGGGCCACCTGTTTGCTCCTCTGGACCCTGTGTCAGCTGCTGCCACCTGTGTGTTCCAGACCTATCTTCATATTAGTTTTTCCCTGTGCTGGTTTTTTATGTTTGTTTATTTGTTTGTTTTCTTCCAAAAAAACCCCTCCCTTCCTGGTCTACCTGGAGAATTCCTGTTTGAACTGTGCAGCCTGGCACCCACGTGACTGCCCTTGGGGCCTCCCTAATTGCTGGATTGGGTGTTCTGTCATCTGTGCACCCCATGTACCTACACACTGGTGTGGTTTTTTTCCTCAACTGAGCTTGCTGCAGACTTGGGACCTGGGGTGGTCAGGGCTTCAGCTGGCTGTGACCGGGGCTCTGCCTCCTGGGTAGGGCTCAGGCTCATGATGCTGCTTGCCAGGTAAGAGGAACATGTGCAGAAATGCAGGGGAGAGTTTGCAGGCTGCCCCAGCCTGACCAGGAAGGTGGAGCTGGGCTGCTCTGCTGGCATATGGGGCTTGAGGCTGGGACAGGAGGATGGTTCCTAAGGCACAGGCCAGCAGCGATGGCCAGCCTCTTTCTGCAAGCCCTGGGGATCCCATTTCAGCCCTGCCCTCCGCCTGGAGTTTTCAACCAAATGGGGTCCTTCCTGGGAGAGAGAGGAGGTTACTCTAGGGTGCCCCAGTTCTCCTTTCCTGCTGGGGTGGGGTCACCCTGCAGGGCTTCTGAAATTGGATTCCCTTGTGTTTTACTCTTTGTTGCTGTGCAGTCTTGGCCAAGAGGCTTGACCTCTCTGAGCCGATGCGTCCTGTACAGATGGGGCGGCAGCTTTTGGCTGGGTTGGTGTGGGGATTGGAGGTGTGTTCTCTGGACACAGGTAGGACTTGATACAGGGCCCCGGAGAGGAGGAAGCGCGTGTGAGTTGTGGCAAAGAGATGCTTTGGTGTTGTCGCAGGGCATGTGCCCAATTCCGGGCCCCTTTTGTCTTTCTCTGGCTCCCAATGGAGCTGGTGACCAGAGGAGCAGTGGAGGCTGGGTCCGAGGGGCTGCACTGCAGCCCAGGCCAGACCTCAGGCTCTGTGACCCTGGGCATGAGGCTCAGCCTCTGTGCCATCTTCTGGAGGGTGGGCGTGAGGGTTATATAAGGAGAATAGCTGCAATCACTTCGCCTCCCACTCCTGCCGCCTTCTCCCATTTTAGCTGTGCGGCTCCCTTAGGTAAGGAACACGTGGGCACCTGCGGGGGGGGGGGGGGGAGCCCCAGGCAGAGCGGGCCCAGCAGAGGTTGCCCCACAGCATGCTGAGCCCAGTGCTGGCAGCAGTGGTGGCCCTGGTACTCTTGGGATCTAAGGCTGGGTGGATAGAGCACCTGCCGTGTCCTGGTTGTGGCCCTGAAAGCCTCCAAGAAGGTTTTCCCAGGGCTGGGTGTACAGCACAGGGACATGGGTCTGTAAGGGACAGGGTGCAAAGTGCTGGCAGGGATTGGCCGGGGGCTGTGTCCACTGTGGTGCTGGGGATCTCAGAGTGGACAGGCTGCTGCTCTTGTCTTGGGTGTCAGCATTTGTTTTCAGAGTGGCCATGTCATCTTTCTTTCTTTCTTTTTTTTTTTTTTTTTTTTGTCTTTTTCGTTTTTTATCGGTACCAGGGATCGAACTCCCGACCGCCTGTTTGCAAGGCAGGTGCTTATGCCACTGAGCTAAATGTCGTCTTTCATAGTTATGATAGTTTGCAAAGTATGTAAGCACGTCCATGCCAGGGCCCAGCCAACTCTGTGGCTCACCCCTTGTTTTTATAAATAAAGTTTTATTGGAACAGCCACACTGTTCATGTAGTGCTGGCTGTGGTCACTTCAGCTCTGTGCTGGCAGAATGGAGCCACCACAGCAGACCCTGGAGGGCCAGAGGCTTTTCCTTCCCAGCCCTTTGCAGAAGTGGGTTGGTGTTCTACGGCCCGTGCTGTCTCTGAACCCCCTGAGCTGGTTCCATCCTTGAGAAAGGTACACTTGTCTTCTGCCTTTTGGCAAGAAGCACAGAGGGGTCGCACAGTTAGTAAGTTCAGGGCAGGAGTTTGAGTCCAAAAAGCCCACCTCATCCCCAGGTGATGTCTATTTCTTGTTGTCTTCTCACTGAATTTTACCCGGTGATATGTACAATATCTAGCTTAAAATTTACCGACAATTTCTTAATAGCTCAGTACAGGATCCACTCTTAAACTATTTCATGTGAAGTGCATAGAATTAATAATGGCTACTCTGCTAGCCTTTTAAAGCTCACAGCTCGGTGGCATCAAGCAGCACCGCGCTGCTGTGTAAGCACCACCCCCAGGTACCTCCAGACATTCCCAGCATCCTCAGCGGGCAGGGCTGGGAGTGTTTTCATAGGCAAAGCAACATCAGCTGCATGCTGGTGTGGTAGAGAAGGTGTTAAGTCAGCCTGGGGTTCGGCGCAGCCCTGCCTTTTACCCCCACTCCTGTGCTGGCATCTGCACCACTGGGGACTCTCTAGGACTTCATTCCTCACTTTGGGAGTGGGGACAGCTCCAGGGCCAACTCCAGCACTGGGCAGTGGGCAGTGGCTCTGGGTGGAGTCCCTTCGACAGTGCTCTTAGTTGACTCTCTGTGGTCTAAGATGTCCCCTTTGTCCTTTCTAGGACTGGAAGCATACTCGGGCCCGGCACAAGTCCAGAGTCCCTATCACAACCTTGGGGATCCAGAGACTGTGTGGGGACAGCCCTCCTACCCCTCTGTCCCTGTGGCCCAGACTTGGCTAAGGAATGAAAAGGGTTCTATGTGCGCCTCGGGCCGCTCTTTGTGGCAGTAATGCTCTTGTGCCTGCCAGGTCAGGGGATGTGCTGGCCTGCGGCTTCTCCCCCAGGCCTTGTTGAGTTGAGGGTTTGGGGAAGGATGCACGCCAGGGAGTGTCTTGCTTCCCGTGGACTCGGCTGGGCTGGCCAGCGTGGCTTCCCCTCTGGCCCCAGGGGCTCTCGGCTCTCTCCTCCCTGGCTGCTTCTGGAGGCCAGCACTCGCCTTTTACCTGCTTGTTCCAATTCTAGATTTTATTTAATGCAATTGCAACGCACATCTTCCACGGAAGCAACTCTTTCTTTTTCTCCCCATTTCTTTCTCCTTTATAAAAACCTGCAGTGAAATTCATGTAGCATAAAATTAATCATTTTAAATGTGTACAATTCACTGGCATTTAGTAAATGGGTAACATTGTATAATTTTTACCTACCTCGGTTTAGTTCCAAAACACTTTTACCACTGACACAAAGCTGTACCCACCAGCATTTGCACCCATTGCCCCTTGTCCCGCCTCTCACACCCCAATCTGCATTCGGTTCCTTTTCGGGGCGTGTCATGTAAATGGGACCTGTGGTTCATGGCTCTTTGTGCTAGGGTCCACACTTCCGTGGTGTTTCGCAGGTTCGCCTGTCTGGTAGTGGCTGTTTGACTCCATTCCTTTTT